GGCCCTGAGGGGCAGGTCCCACCCTCGCAGCCCCTCCTTGTCCATGGGATTGGCAAAGTTTACCCCTCACCCGGGCGGGCTGGCTGTGCTGCAAGACCTGCCTGCAGTTTACACGGGGGCCCAAGCAGCACGACAGGCTCCTCAGAGTAATTTCTTTATTTCTGCTTCATCTTATAAAACACAAATCAGTGGCCAAAAGAGGCTCGGTGCGGTTTCTCCTTCCCTGGTGTGGAGCAGCTTGTGAGCCCGACCTCAGAATAGCCCAGTGGTTAGAGAGCTGTCCTGGGGGTAGGATACAATGTTCCCTCTAAGATTTTCCATTCATGAGCAGAGTGAGTTTTGTCCTGTGCACCAGTATTGAGGTCATGTGCGCTTGTTTGGATGTATGCCACCATGGCACTCAAGTTATTAACAAATATGTATTTTTTAAAATGTTATGGAAGAAAGACTACAAAAACAAGGGATAATTAACAAGGTGCACGGCCTTAAATGTTTATTTAATATGAAGTCAAATAAAAAGAAAATAAATACTGCAAAATGTTCAGTAGCCAACTCTGTTTATAGCCCTCTCCCAGACCCCTGTCTAGCTGGACTTGATGATCTCCCTTCCAGTCCTATGATTCTGTGACTCCTGCCTACATTCCAAATACCAGAAGGATGTTGGTGGGTTTGCTAGCAATGTCGGAAGTAAGAGATCTCGGAGAACAGTCTGAACTATAGCCTCTTTCAACTTTCAGTTGGATACCAAGGCATGATCACTATATATCAGTGCAGGAATGGTGAAAGAATGAAAGATCTTTCTAAGCCCCCCCTGTGCCTTCTGTATTGCCAGAAGCAAGTCCAGCTGCGGTTGTATGTTGATTAGTCTCAAGGATGCTCTAAGTTTGCACTGCTCATAGTTCAGTAGAAGTAATAGGAGGCCAAGAATAAGCACAGTGCAGTACTGCTCTAATTTTCCTCCAGAATGCCCCTATCCCAGGAGCTTTAGGTAGAGAGGGGCACCACTAAGCAAGCTAGGGAGTACCCTACCTCCACTGGGGGTAAGATGCGATTAGGGAAGTGAGATCACTGCCTACAGGGTACCTTTGTGCCACTGGAGTTCAAAATGGCCATGCTGCTTAAAGCTGCACAAATAGCATGGACACCCACTAGCACAGCCAGGCGGAATCTGGGGCAGGATGCTCCTTTCCCCTCTCGGCTGCAGTCCTGGGAGCCTGTGGCATGCTGCTGTGGGAGTTAAAATTGCCCCCCTCCCTGTGGCTGGGTCCCTGCCCTGGTTACCCCCCCTAGCCATGTTGTTGCTTTCTGCCCCTGGCAGCAGAGCAGCAGCAGGACAAGTGGCAGGCAGTGCTGTGCGGGCTGCAGCAGGCCCAGGTGCGGGGGTGGTGAGCCCACAATGACCCCGGAGCGCAGAGCATCACTGCGATCTGCCTTCCCCTTGGGGAGGCTCCCCACCCTGCAGGCAGCAGAGAAAGGCAACTCACCTGAGGGCTGGGGTGGAGGCCTAGTGTCTGCAGCACTGCTTGCGCCTTCACTCCTCCGCCGGTGATGAAGGCAGATGAATGGCAAGCTTATCTTCAGCCACAGTTCTGCAGAAAAGGACCTGGGGATTACGGTGGATGAGAAGCTGAATGAGAGTCAATAGCGTGCCCTTGTAGCCAAGAAGGCTAATGGCATATTAGGGTGCATTAGGAAGAGCATTGCCAGCAGATCTAGAGAAGTGATTATTCCCCTTCATTCGGCACTAGTGAGGACACATCTGGAGTATTGCGTCCAATTCTGGGCCCCCTACTGCAGAAAGGATGTGGACGCATTGGAGAGGGTCTAGCAGAGGGCAACCAAAATGATTAGGGGGCTGGAGCATATGACCTATGAGGGATTTGGGTTTGTTTAATCTGCAGAAGAGAAGAGTGAGGGGGGATTTGGTAGCAGCCTTCAACTTCCTGAAGGGAGGTTCCAAAGAGGCTGGAGAGAGGCTGTTCTCAGTAGTGACAGATGGCAGAACAAGGAGCAATGGTCTCAAGTTACAGTGGGAGAGGTCCAGGTTGGACATTAGGAAAACTGTTTCACTAGGAGTGTGGTGAAGTACTGGAATGGGTTAAGTCTCGGCTTGACAGGGCCCTGGCTGGGTTGATTTAGTTGATTTAGTTTAGATTTTTGTATTGCCTGAAACAATCATTGAACCATAGAACCATAGAACACTAGAATTGGAAGGGACCTTGAGAGGTCATCGAGTCCAGTCCCCTGCCCTCAGTACCGTTTAGACCATCCCTGATCGATATCTGTCTAACCTGCTCTTAAATATCTCCAGGGATGGAGATTCCACAACTTCCCTGAGCAACTTATTCCAGTGTTTCACCACCCTAACTGTTAGGAAGTTTTCCTAATGTCCAACCTAAACCTCCCTTGCTACAGTTTAAGCCCATTGCTGCTTGTCCTATCCTCAAGAGGCTAAGGAGAACAAGTTTTCTCCTTCCTCCTTGTGACACCCTTTTAGGTACCAGAAAACCGCTATCATGTCCCCCCTCAGTCTTCTCCTTTGCAAACTAAACAAGCCCAGTTCCTTCAGTCTTCCTTCATAGGTCATGTTCTCTGGACCTTTAATCATTCTTGTTGCTCTTCTCTGGACCCTCTCCAATTTCTTCAATCATTGAAGTGTCAGTTTTGACAAATTTGCATAGTAGAAATAAACCAGGAAACACCTAAGTCTAGTTGCTCTGGCAGTTTTGTATGTTTTTTGAATAGTCTCTTCAGATAGTGAGCTATTGTGAAATTCTCATGGTCACAAGATGTTTTAAAAGTATATTTCTGCCATTTTGAGTTTTGCATCTCTCTAGTCAACAGATTCCTAATGTGGATATCTTTTGCATTTCAGTTGTTGAAGGGCTAGCTTTGCTGGATTTGGGTGTGTCACCCTATTCTGGAGATGTCTTCCATGAAGTAAGTGAACTTGTGTCGTATTTTCTAATACATATTATTACATACTTACTCAGTGCCTTTAAATGTCTGGCTGTGAGTGGGTACTCCTTGGTGCATTTCAAAATATAAATGATTTATATGCTTCAGAATCATGTAGTTGTCCATGTAACAAATATATGCAGTGAGTAGCCCTGCTACAAAGTACAGTTCATGACAACAAAACTGGCTGCTGCAAATTTGATTGACATTGGTGATTACTGGTGATTATTATTACATGAGCAAATTTAAGACCAGTGGAATTCGTAAGCAGCACATAGTCTCTTCACATGCAAATTTTCCTAGAAGAAAAAAGATGCAGATATTGGTTTTATGGCAGTCTAAACAGAATTGTTCTGCACAATATTTTATAAACATAATGCGCTTGTGTACTGAGACAAGAAACCAACTTTGGGTGTGGCTCTATTCAGAGGAGTCATCAACATATTGATGTTGGGTTAGCCATGATAATGCATGTGCTGTCTCTCATCCAGGGTAGCACTACTCTAGTACAATTTTTGGATGATGTACTCCTACGTGACCCAGAATTTTGCAGAAATATCAGTGCTAGCATCAGTACCCTGGTACTTTTCCCGCTCCTCCATGTGAGGCCTATTCCTATAAGCACTTATCCACATGAGAAAACGTACGCACCTGCATAGCCCTTTGTGGACACTGCAGCTGGTGTGATTCCTAGCATTGGCAGACAGACTCACACCAGCTCACTGCAAGCTAACATGTTAAAATTGGCATTGTGGATGTTGCAGCACTGGCAGCAGCTTGGGCTAGTTGCCTGAATTTGGGCCAGAGATTGAGTGGGCTTGGATGTGGACAGCTAGTCTGAGCTGCCATCCATGCTGCTGTTTTAGCATGCTAGCTCGAGGGAAGGTAGCATAAGTCTGTACCGACACTGGGATTCACACAACCCAGCTGCAGTGTAGCTATGCCACCAAAGCTCACATGCATAAAAGAGGAAATACTGGCAAGACCAAGGCTGTGGTCAGCTGGAGGGGAAGGTTCAGAAATAAATTAGGGCTGTCAAGCTATTTAATCGCGATTAATTGTGTGCGCCTCCCCTTTGAAATGCCACCCCAAGGCGCGTTTCAAAGGGGCAGGCATGGAGCCCGGGGTCAGCTGGGGACTCCCTAGCTGATCCTGGGCTCTGCGCAGCATTTCCCCAGAACCCGGGGTCAGCTAAGGAGTCCCCAGCTGACCCTGGGCTACATGTGGTACTGCTGCTGAGTCTCCACCTGACCCCAGGCTCCACGGCTCCCCCTTTAAAACACCGCCTCTCGTGTTTCAAAGGAGCAGCTGCCATGGAGCACGGGGTCAGCTGGGGACTCCCCATCTGATCCTGGGCTCTGCACAGCATTTCCCCAGAACCCGGGGTGAGCTGGGGAGTTCCCAGCTGACCCTAGATTTTACTGCCACGGGGAGCCTAGGATAAACTGGGAGTTCCCAGCTGTTACCAGGTTCTGGGGAAATGCCACGCGGAAGTGGCGTTTCTAAGGGGCAGCCGCTGCAAAGCTGAGAGCCGGCTCAACTGTGAGGCGACTGCCCATTTCAGATGCCAACTCTGCGCATTTAAAAAGGGGCAGTGGAGCCTTGGGTCAGCTGTGGGTCCCCAGCTGATCCTGGTTCCGCATTGCACTGCCCCTTTGAAGTGCTGGGCAGCACAGCATTAAAGTCTGCGATTAATGTGTTAATCCTGGACTGCGTTAATCTCCGGCATTAACGCGTGTCCATTGACAACCCTAATATAAATCTGTGATGTCAATGTAGTGAGACTCTGTCAACTAATTGGTTGCCTTCTTGGGGAAAACGTTGTCTTCCCGTTTTAATGTCTTGATTTTGTGAATGCCCAAATTTGTAGGGGATTGACAAGATTTAATTGTGTGTTTCTGTTTTACTCTCTCTTAGACCCCGTTAATAATATACTTGTTTCATTTCCTGATTGAATATGCTGAATTGGTGTTCATGGTAAGTGTTGCTTCAATCTTTTTAGAAACCAAAACAAACTGTTCCAGTAATGCCCTTCTTTTTAAAAGCAAAAGTATATTTAGTTTTTTTAAATTATTGATTTTTATCCACCCAGTCTCAGTTTCAGCTGAGGGAACATTGAGATCTGTGAGTTATTGAGTGTGCTCGGTTGCCACAGCTTCTATTCATGTCCAGGAGAATTAAGGGCAATTAACAGCCTTGTACATTAGACCCCTATAGAGCTGAAGAGATATTTAGAAAAAAAGACATGTCTGTACATATGCATGCTCAGTCTGTACCTCCTTCCTCCTCCAAAAATTAATCTGGCTGGCTACATGTCATCAAAAGGAAGAACAGGGACATGACGCAAACCCTTAGAGCTGACCTGAAAAGGCAAGCTTTTTTTCATTTGCTGACCTCTAAAACATTTCAGATGGAGGTGTGCACCCCTTTGAAATGTTAGATATAGTCTGCGCACTCTCAGGTTGATAACCTCTGCCCTAAATAAATAAAAAAGGGTACAAATTCTTCCACGAGACCTTTAATGAAGAATGGCAAGCTATTATAGAGATTATACTTTCAAATTATGGGCTTCTCATTAAAGTTAATAGCAATGCTCTGGGGAGCTCAGTGGGAGCAGGAGCTGGTCCTTTCTGAGCACGGTAGAGTTAAAAATACCTGTTTGGCAGAAAATTATTTTGTGTGTCGCATAATACAAATAAACAAAAATTACCCAGCTAATTGTATCTTTTCTCTACCAGTTCTGATGACCAAGGCAATCTGGCGTTTCTCACAAGGGCTAAAAATTGATTGTAATACATGTATAGCAACCATTTCAAATTATTTGCTCTGAGGCCTAGACAATTGGTACTGTTATCTGGTGAGCAGTTGGTTAATTCAGAAGGCTGCTTTTCTGGATCATTGGTGAACATGTTCTTAGTCATATGTGCAGTGCTGTCTCTCTGCTCTGGATAAATTAGTGGTTCTGTAACACTTTTAGCTTGTGGGCCACTTGACAAGAGACCTCCTGTTTTGTGAACAATTTCTCCTCTTCCAGTTCCCCACTTCTTCTCAAAATACTCACTTCTCTGTACCTGCCAGAAAGAACTTAAAGAAACACTGCTACTCCATAGGTCATCACTTAAGAGATGCAGAGCTGGAATCTTTAGAGATGTTTCCACCTACACCCTAACCTGTTACCAATAGTTACTATGGTGAATATTTAGTTCAGAGTATTGGTGCAATATCACAGCTTTCTGGAGTAGTGGTTGCATTTGCTTACTGTTTTAATAGGTCACAGGTTTAAAACAAACCAGAGGAAGTATTTCTTCACACAACCGCACAGTCAACCTGTGGAACTCCTTGCCAGAGCATGTTGTGAAGACCAGGGCTTTAACAGGGTTCAAAAAAGAACTAGATAAAATTCATGGAGGTTAGGTCCATCAATAGTTATTAACCAGGATGGGTAGGAATGATCTCTCTAGCCTCTGTTTGTCAGAGGCTGGAAATGGATGACAGGAGAGGGATCACTTGATGATTCCCTGTTCTGTTTGTTCCCTCTGGGGCACCTGGCATTAGCCACTGTTGGTAGAGGGGTTACTAAGCAAGATGGACCTTTGGTTTGACCCAATATGGCCTTTCTTATGTTCTTATATTCCTTGCTTTAGTGACCAGTCAGTCTTTGCTTATCTTCCTTTCTTTAGATAACTGATGTGCTAACTGGTGTTGCCCTCTACTTGGCCGTCCAGGATTTCAACAAAGTTGTGGTAAGCTGACTTGCAGAATCTGCTGGTCTCATAGACTCATAGACTTTAAGGTCAGAAGGGACCATTATGATCATCTAGTCTGACCCCCTGCACAGTGCAGGCCACAGAATCTCACCCACCCCTCTTAGAATAATCCTCTCACCTATGTCTCAGATATTGAAGCCCTCCAATACTTTGAAGGCCCCAACATGCAGAGAGTCCTTCAGCTGTGATCTGTGCCCAATGCTACAGAGGAAGGCGAAAAACCTCCAGGGCCTCTGCCAATCTACCTTGGAGGAAAATTCCTTCCTGACCCCAAATATGGCGATCAGCTAAACCCTGAGCATGTGGGCAAGACTCACCAGCCAGACACCCAGAAAGTTCCCTATAGCAACTCCTATCATCCCTCCATTGACCTATTTCCAACTGGAAATGAATGGTCAATTAGTTACCAAGATCATGTTATTTCATCCAACCATCCCCTTATCATAGAATCAGAACTGGAAGAGACCTCAGAAGGTCGTCAAGTCCAGCCCTCCGCTCTAGGCAGGACCAATCCCATCTAAATCAACCCGGCCAGGGCTTTGTCAAGCCGAGACTTAAACACCTCTAGGGATGGAGACTCCACTACTTCCCTAGGTAACCCATTCCAATGCTTCACTACCCTCCTAGTAAAATAGTTTTTCCTAATATCCAATCTGGACCTCTCCCACCATAACTTGAGACCATTGCTCCTTGTTCTGCCATCTGTCACTACTGAGAACAGCCTCTCTCCATCCTCTTTGGAACCTCCCTTCAGGAAGTTGAAGGCTGCTATCAAGTCCCCCCTCACTCTTCGCTTCTGCAGACTAAACAGACCCAAGTCCCTCAGCCTCTCCTCGTAGGTCATATGCTCCAGACCCCTAATCATTTTGGTTGCCCTCCGCTGGACCCTCTCCAATGCGTCCGCATCCTTTTTGTAGTGGGGGGCCCAGAACTGGACACAGTACTCCAGATGTGGCCTCACCAAAGCCGAATAAAGGGGAATAATGACATCTCTGGATCTGCTGGCAATGCTCCTCTTAATGCATCCTAATATGCCATTAGCCTTCTTGGCTATAAGGGCACACTGTTGACTCATATCCAGCTTCTCATCCACTGTAACCCCCAGGTCCTTTTCTGCAGAACTACTACTTAAATGGTTGGTCCCCAGCCTGTAACTATGCTTGGGATTCTTCCGTCCCAAGTGCAGGACTCTACACTTGTCTTTGTTGAATCTCATGAGATTTCTAGTGGCCCAATCCTCCAATTTGTCTAAGTCACTCTGGACCCTATCTCTGCCCTTAAGCGTATCTACCTCTCCCCCTAGCTTAGTGTCATCTGCAAACTTGCTGAGGGTGCAATCTATCCCCTCATCCAGGTCATTAATAAAGATATTGAACAAAACCGGTCCTAGAACCGAACCTTGGGGCACTCCACTAGAAACCGACCGCCATCCTGACATCGAACCGTTGATCACTACCCGCTGGGCCCGGCCTTCTGGCCATCTTTCTATCCATCTTACCGTCCATTTATCCAATCCGCATTCCCTTAACTTGCTGGCAAGAATATTGTGGGAGACCGTATCAAAAGCCTTGCTAAAGTCAAGGTATATAACATCCACTGACTTTCCCATGTCCACTGAGCCAGTTACCTCATCATAGAAGCTAATCAGATTGGTCAAGCACGACTTGCCCTTTGTGAATCCATGCTGACTATTCCTGATCACTTTCCTCTCATTCAAGTGTCTCAAAATGGATTCCTTTAGGATCCCTTCCATGATTTTTCCAGGAACCGAGGTAAGACTGACCGGCCTATAGTTCCCTGGATCGTCCTTCTTCCCTTTTTTGAAGATGGGCACTACATTTGCCTTTTTCCAATCATCCGGGATTTCGCCCGATCTCCACGACTTTTCAAAGATAATGGCCAAAGGCTCCTCAATGACATTTGCCAACTCCTTCAGTACCCTTGGGTGCATTAAGTCTGGACCCATGGATTTGTGTACGTTTAGTTTTTCTAAATAGTTCCTAACCTGTTCTTTACCCACCAAGGGCTGTCCATCTTCTTCCCATCTTGCGTCGCTTAGCACAGGAGTCCAGGAGCCGACCTTGTCCGTGAATACAGAGGCAAAGAAAGCATTGAGTACTTCAGCTTTCCCCACATCCTCTGTCACTAGGTTACCTCCTTCATCCATTAGGGACTGCACACCCTCTCTGATCACCTTCTTTTTGTTGACATGCCTGTAGAAACCTTTCTTGTTATCCTTCGCATCCTTAGCCAGTCACAACTCCATTTGCGCTTTCGCCTTCCTGATAACCCCCCGGCATTCTCGAACTATACATTTAAGCTCCTCCCTAGTCATTTGTCCAAGTTTCCACTTTCTGTAAGCTTCCTTTTTGTGCTTAAGTACACCAAGGATTTCCCCTGTAAGCCAATCCGGTCTCCTACCAGGTTTGCCTCTCTTGCTACGTGTCGGGATGGTTTCTTTCTGTGCCTTCAATAAGGCTTCTTTAAAATACTGCCAGCTGTCCTGGACTCCTTTCCCCTTCATGTTAACATCCCAGGGGATTCTTTCCATCAGATCTCTGAGGGAGTCAAAATCTGCTTTTTTGAAGTCCAAGGTGTGTATTTTACTACTCTCTTTTCTTCCTTTGGTCAGGATCCTGAAGTCTACCATCTCATGATCACTGCTTCCCAGGTTGTCACCCACCTCTACGTCCCCTATTAGTTCCTCCCTGTTTGTGAGGAGAAGGTCAAGCTGTGCACGGCCCCTGGTCGGATCCTTCAGCACTTGTACCAAGAAGTTATCCCCAACATTCTCCAAAAACTTCCTGGATTGCCTGTGTACTGCCGTATTGGTTTCCCAACAGATGTCAGGGTGATTAAAGTCCCCCATGAGCACCAGGGCCTGCGATCTGGAAGCTTCTGGTCCTTGTTCACTTGACAAGTGCAAGAGTGTTTCATTAAATGATATATGAAGCAAGTCCAGGCCTGTTCAGACAGTGCAGTAATCAATATCTACTGATTAGCAATAGCTGTGAAATCAGCGAACATGGATGCAGAATATGCATGAGCCAACATGGGCCCTGTTAACGTCTGCTGTTGTTTATCATGGGGTGACTTCTAAGCATAATGAAGGCATTATGGACGGGTGTTACTCAAGTTCATGTAACGGTTGTGCACATCGTAGTTTTAATGATGATCAAGTATACCTTGGGTCAGACCAACCCCTTCTGTGGTGAAACATGGCAACTGTTTCACAACGCACAGTAATGGGATGCAGCAGTTTTAAGTCCGGAACCGAGGGCTCATTTTCAGTTATAGTGGGAATTTTAGGTGTGCAAACACAATTACTGTAGTAGGAATTTGGCAGGATTGTGGTGCTCTCATCCTTAGGTCTGTTCCCATTGCAGCTTTTAACCAGCTAGTCACTTGGTTGGCTTTGTGTCCATACGCAAGCACAGCCTGAAAAGTACTGAACAGTAATGCTCAAGTTTATTAGCCTTAAAGAAAGTTGTCATTTCAGGTCACATAAATCAGAATAGTGAAGGACTGATAATTCTGCTGCACTGGACTGACACTGGAGTGATCTCTACCGTTGCCTTCAAAGTATTAATAAATGGAATTTGAGGCTAGTGGCTCTTCCTAAGGAAACTGCCATCTTTCATAACTAATGTACTTGAGACAGTTTTTACAACAGAAAACTCTGTATCTGAACCAGCAGCACAGTGCTTCCTAGTATCATGCTGGGACAAGGATTCATTACCGATTCAGAGGAGGGGTTTGCAGCATCTGTGTGTTCATTGAAGGTCTTCCATCTAAGCAAGGATCTGGCCTAATCTTGCTTTGCTTGGTGGAGCTGAAGGAATAACAGTGCAAGCTGATACAGCTCCTGGTGTATAAAAATTCTCACCAATACGACAGTTCTTTAGATTTTCAGGGACACTTCAGTAGGTTTATAGATCACCTTCACTTCTGACTTTTTAGTGGAGGTTATATGAAATGTATTTTGAGTGCCCAGAGCAGATCTTTCACAGATGCTCTGAAGCAACAGGGGCATACACAAAGATGCATTATCCTGAGTATAGAGTAGCCAATGGCTTGCTTTGTGTGGGACTTAGATGTTCCATTGCAGGGTTTGTAAAGTTCACCATTCTTTGGTGAGGTGTAGGCTTTAGAAAACACACAAAGCTGCCATGTTACGTTTGAAAACACAATGGACACTCAAATGTATCGAGAAATGACTCTTAATAACTAATTCAATAACTCTCTCATTGCACACACAAATCAGGCCACATCTCTATTGCTTCAGAGAGGTAGCCGAGTTAGTCTGTAACAGGAAAAACTTAAAAAACAAGCAGTAGTCTGCTAGCACTTTAAAAACTAGCAAAACATGGAGATGGCAACATGAGCTTTTGTGGGCACAGCCCATTTCTTCAGGTACCCGGACTCTATTGCTGTTAGTCGGGGCAACAAACCGAACTAACCTGGAAGCTATTTTGGAGCTGTGAGCTGAAACAGCATTAGGATATGCTTCTTGAAATCAGATCACTTCATTTGATTTGAGATCCTATATCTCCTTAATGCCTCCTCTGACTTCTCTACCTCGACAAAAAAACCTGAGTGACAGACTGTCCTTCAGTCCTGTCTCTCTACCTGACCCAAACCTTTTTGCTTGAAATTGCAAAGTCAGTATAGGGAAGGGTGTTAAAACTGGGCTTAGTAAGTAAAAACTGGCTCTTTCTTAGGTACAAGGTGATGATCATCTCTACATACACATCATAGTGATGGACAAGGTTACAGACCTCATCAGCAATGGGCATCCTAGTCTAGTGAGTGGGCCGCATGAGTGGCCCTCCTTCATCTCCGTGGGCTGCAAGATTGTCGTAAGCAAGATAATCTCCCAGGCGAGGGTAGCTTTGCTCACTGCACATCATACCTAGAATTTGTGGGTGTGCCGATTGGAAGGAAGGAAGTGCACGGCTCTCACAGTCAATGTATGCTATCAGCACGTACCTCATGTCATGTGCCCTTTCTTTTTTATGCACGCCACTTCAGTAGTAGTGGTAGAAAACCTACATGGTCAGCAACCAGCAGAATGTAGCAACCCTGCACATGGGCAATGGTAAACAAAATGTCTCGTGGGTCATGCATAGAACTTGATGGGCTGCATGTTGCCTACCACTAGCCTAGGGTATGTCTACACTAGCTCATTAGTTCGAGCTAGGTAGGCAAATGAGGGCAACTGGAGTTGCAAATGAAGCCCGGGATTTAAATATCCTGGGCTTCATTTGCATCTTCCCGGGCGCCGCCATTTTTAAATCCCCCTTAGTCCGACCTCCGTGCCCGCGGCTACTCGCGGCACGGAGTAGGTAGTTCAAATTAGGATCTCCTCGTGGAACCGGTGTACCGGTAGTTCGAATTAGAGATCCTAATTCGAACTACCTACTCCGTGCTGCGTGTAGCCGTGGTCATGGAGTTCAGACTAAGGGGGATTTAAAAATGGCGGCGCCCGGGAAGATGCAAATGAAGCCCAGGATATTTAAATCCCGGGCTTCATTTGCAACTCCGATTGCCCTCATTTGCCTACCTAGCTCAAACTAATGAGTTAGTATAGACATACCCCTAGATAGTAGGGTTGCCAGGTGTCCAGTTTTGAACCGAACAGTCCAGTATTTGAGCTTTCTGTCCAGGAAACAAATTGAGAAAATATAAATGTCTGGTATTTTCTAAATAAGAGCTAATGTAGATTGTGATGTAATGTCAAGTGTGTCTGTATTTTTGTTGAAACCATTTGGCAACCCTACTAGATAGATACAATGTATTTCCATGTCTGACGCTTTTAGTTATTCTCTCTTGTTCAGTTTAAAAAGCAGAAACTCCTAATAGAACTGGATCGGTATGCATCAGATGTGGCTGAACTTATCCGGACCCCCATGGAAATGCACTACATCCCACTCAAGGTAGCACTGTTGTAAGTATTACTTCCTGCAAGCAGATACAAGAAACTTAAGATCCCAAATCCTGTGTGTTTAATTTGCCTATTTAGGGGTATTCTTTTTAGTTGTTTTCTCTTTCCTAGTAAAGAGAAAAAATGTGCCAAGCATTGTATCTCCATAGTCAAGCAAGGGAAAGCTAATGCTTCTCCAGATTTATGTTTCACACTGTAAAGTACATTTTTAACTCCTTTCTATTGGTATTGACAATAAATCATAGAAGATTAGGGTTGGAAAAGACCTCAGGAGGTCATCTAGTCTAATCCCTTTCTCAAAGCAGGCCCTATGCCAATTAAATCATTTCAGCCAGGATTTTGGCCAGGTTTTTAAACCTCTAAAGACGGAGATTCCACCGCTGTCATAGGTAACCCATTCAAGTGCTTCAACGTTCTCCTAAATGAATTAGTTTTTCCTAATGTCCAACCTAGACCTCCCCCAGCGCAACTTGAGACCACTGCTTCTTGTTCTGTCATCTGTTGCTACTGAGAATCAATTTCATTGCCCTCCGCTGGTCTCTTTCCACTTTGTCCGCATCCTTTCTGTAGTGGGGACCCAAAACTGGATGCAGTCCTCGAGATGTGGCCTTACTTGTGCCAAATAGAGGGGAATAATCACTCCCTTGATCTGCTGGCCATGTTCCTACTAATGCAGCCTACTATGCTGTTAGCCTTAGCAATGAGGGCACACTGTTGACTCATATCCAGCTTCTCATCCACTGTTATCCCTAAGTCCTTATCTGCAGAATTGCCACTTAGCCAGTTGGTCCCCAGCCTGTAACCGTGCTCAGGATTCTTCTGTCCCAGATGCAGGACTATGCACTTGTCCTTGTTGAACCTCATCAGATTTCTTTTGGCCCAATCCTCCAATCTGTCTAGGTCACTCAGGACCCTAACCCTACCCTCCATGGTATCTAACTCTCCCCTAGCTTAATGTATTCCACAGACTTGCTGAGAGCACAGTCCATCCCCTCATCCAGGTCGTTAATAAAGCTGTTGGACAAAACCATCCCCAAGACTGACTGACCCCTGTGGCACTCCACTTGATAGTGGCTGCCAACTAGACATTGAGCCTTTGATCACTACCTATTGAGCCTGAGAAAATAGGCAGCTTTCTATCTACTTTATAGTTCATTAATCTAAGCTATGCTTCTTTAACTTGCTGGCAAGAATATTGTGGGAGACAGTATCAAAATCTTTGCTAAAGTCAAGGTATATTATGCTTTCCCCTATCCAGAGAGCCAGTTATCTCATCATAGAAGGTAGTTAGGTTGGTCAGGCATGACTTTCCCTTGATGAATCCATGTTGATTGTTCTTGATCACCTTCCTCTCCTCCAAGTGTTTCAAAATGGATTTGTTGAGGCTCTGCTCCATTATCTTTCCAGGGACTGAGGTGAGGCTGACCAGTCTGTAGTTTCCAAGCTCCTCCTCTTTGTATAGTCTCTAATATGGAGAGACTGTAGTGTCTGCGCTATTTAGGTTTCTGTCAAATTTTGCATAATTTTTAACTTCTTCAAAATTAAATTAGTGGATCCAAAATGTCTGTTGTGTTCCCTTTCCAGAAGATAATTTTTTAAATGAAAAGTTTAGGGGTAGTAGGCAAGGTGTTCCTCTAGCATGACCATTTGAAAATCTAGAAATTATTTTTGAAAGGTCTGAGGTACTCAGTTTCCACTTAGTCAATTTTAGTATCATCCCTCTGAGGCCTTATAGGAAACCTCATTATTCAGACCACATGCTCTTAAGTTTTTGAAGTAAGTAAAGCTGTAATTAAAACAAACAGTATAAGAGGTGGGTACATGAAATCAAAAGAAACAAATCAGTCATCTTGATCTAAGTAAATGAGATAAACCTGGAGTCTGGAATTAATCAAAAGGGATCTGCCTCTTGGATCTCCCTTACTGCTGATGTTCTTTGATCAGAAGAAAATTTTTCATAAAAGAAATGTTAATGATTCTTTCCTGTCTTGATCGGAATTATATAGGTCAGTAAATCCCCTTGGGGTGAGAAAGTTAAAGCTTTCCTCTTGTGTTAACAAGCTAGACTAGTTTTCATTTTTATTACACACTGGGTGCACAATTTCATAGAATACTGGAATTGTATCTTTGCATAGTCTCCTGTATGTACTATCTCTGGTGTTTGGAATAGCCATTAACTTCAAGCTTAGAAAAAGGCCAACCTCAGGCTGAGGGAAACCAATACTATGATAAATATTCATCGGACAGAACAGCTGGCCGATCATAATCCCTTGTCCTCTCTCAAATAACTGATTTGTTGTAATGAAGGTTGACTGATCTGTTGTCTTGCTTATTGAATCAATAATCCACCAGAGCTTTTCTTTGCTCCTTGGAGCCTAGTTTAATGAGATCACTGGAGCATTAATTTTGAATTTGCAGAGAGGAGCTAGTATCTTTAAAGTGTGGTTGCACTCTGTGACAAAGTCAGGCCAGATGGCTGCAACAGAGTGAGAAAAGGCAGCCCTAGCCAGCCGGAACTGAGTAAAAAGTTGATTTCTGTTTTAAACTGCCAGCTCTGCAGTTACCATGGGATCTGAGCATCAGCCTGGCTTGTCTGCTTCTCACACATCCCCACCTGCAATAAAGGCTCTTCAGATTGGACTAGACACCAATGCAGTCCCATTGCCCTCGATGGAGTAGCACAGGTGGAACTGATTGGGACCTAGGAAACAGTTCTGTTTAGGCACAAGAAGGAATAGCATCCATCTTGCTGCCTATTTAGTCTTATTGGCTCCTGATGGCTAATAGGAGTAAAAAATGAAGCAAGAACTTATTTCGTTGGCTGTCATTGGCAGAAGTGACTTTCAAATCAAATGGGGGAGCAGATTGGCTGAGTAACAAAGGCCATTTTTATTTGATCATTTTTCAGAATAAAATTGCAGTTTAAATGGGCTCGTTTCCTCCTGCTTCCTCCTGGGTTGTCCCACGATCACCCCATCCTTCACCATGACATGAAATCCAGTTTATATACAAGCGCCACACCTGATTTTGCATGATTTGAAAGGCATCAGTTCAGCTGGATCCTTTTGAGGTTGAGAGGAAACCATACAATGCAAACATGTAAATAATCAAAAAGAGACAGCAAATCATTTCCATTTTCCTTTTATATTTCTCCCTTTGCTTGGCTATTTTTCTCTCTTTTTGTAATGGCATGAGTGTAATTGAGTTTTAATTCTTTTTCAGTTATCTCTTAAATCCGTACACAGTGATGTCTTGTGTTGCAAAGTCCACCTGTGCCATCAACAATACTGTCATTGCATTCTTCTTTTTGGCTACAATAAAAGGTAAAGCACTGAGAACACTTACCCCTGCTCATACCTTTCTGCAAATACTTGATCTGTGGTTTATTTGAAATGCAGTTAATAACGAGACACCTTAGAGACTGGGTCAAGGCAATGTCAAAGTCTGCTTTGAATCTCTGTCGTAAAAGGCAAATGCATAGTTAAGTACAAGGTAGTTAAGACCCAGTACGTGTTGATGTCTCTGAACTCATGGGATGTGTCTACACTACATACTAACACCAGACTTGAACTCACATTTGGGCCGAAGCCACCCTTCAACCCACACAGAGACATCTATATATGACACTTGTATGAATCTCACTCGGTAGATTATAGGGATAAAAACCAGTTTCATCCATCACTGTTTCATGCTACTGGCTGCTTGTCAGAGCCTTTCTTCTTGCCTCATTGTCCTTGTAATACAGAGAGTGACAAGCTCCAGAACATGCTGGAATGGTTATTTTTGCCCCCTCTAACTGCTTTTGGAGTTTGTAAAGGACTGAGGGCTGTTTGAATATGACCCTCTTTATGATCATGGTTCGTTAACTGAGGTTTGTTTCCTCCCTGCAGGTAGTACACTCCTCAGTGCTATATTCCTGGCCTTAGCAACATACCAGTCACTGTACCCTCTAACCTTGTTTGCACCAGCTTTGCTGTATCTTCTCCAGGTAAATATTTTCTAAGAGTAACTGTATTGACTGTGACATCCTATGCAAGGCTAATTCCTATCAGTGAGCAATGGCTGTCCCATGTGTAGGTGGCGGGAGGAGATGCTTGGCTACCACTGTGCTGTACCCCATGGCTATGTCTACACTCACGGCTTTTTGCACAAGAATCCGTAGAGCGTCCACACTGCCCGACTGCTCTTGCGCAAGGAAATTTACAGTACGGCATGATAAGAGAGGGCTTCTTGCGCAAGCGCTACACTCTTTTTTCAACAGGTGTAAGCCCTCTGGTGCAGGAGCTCTTGTGGAAGAGGGCAGTGTGGACGCTCGGAAGGAATTTATTGCGCAAGAAAGCCCTATGGCTAAAATGGCCATCAGAGCTTTCTTGCGCAAGAGATCGTCCACACTGCCATAGGCACTCTTGCGCAAAAGCACATCTTGCACAAGGAAGTGTGGACGTTTCCTTGCGCAAGACCTCTTGCCCAAGAACCGTTGCGCAAGATGTTCTTGCACAAGAAGCCGCCAGTGTAGACATAGCCCGTGATTCAGTGGCCAGATCTCAAAAAAAAAAAAAATCTCATTCTTCCCCAGGCTTGTGGAGATTTAGCAACTTGGATAGGAGAGAAGAAGAAACTCATTTATCCCTGCTTGCAAATTTGGCCAGCACTCTTCTTGCTGAACACAAAGCTACACTTGGTGTCCTGTGACCATAAAGAGAATTTTGGAGCATCAGAATTGCTTCTATAGTGACCTGGCATCAGTGCCACGAGGTTCAGTGACAGTCATTTTACCTGAATCATCCAGGCTTCCCAACACACTGGAAAGGCAGTGATAATGTCTTGTTTGCATACACTTGTGGTACTTTCTAGTAGCTGTTCTCCCAGCCTTACTCCACCATTAATGGAATGTTGATCAGATTGCACCCAGGGTTCTGAAGATCCTGAATTATTCATGGACGCCCACAGCTCCGCAAGATAAATGCTGAGCTGCAAAGCAGATTAATTCATCAATAAGCCAAGAGCTGACAAGACTGGAAAGGGGTATTAAACTGGAGGCAACTCCCTGCTAGTGATATAGAAGACAAATGCATGCTATTGCTGAGCATAATGTTGTGCAACAGAGAGGATGATGGAAAGAGACTCTTCACGTTCACTGGAAGAAGTGATAACTCCCTGGAAATGAGTATCTCCTGCCTAATCTAATCTGTTGCTTTAGGTGCTTCTGTCATATCCATCACAATGGCATACAGTGTCTCCTTTGTCAGGGGCTTCAGATGGCTTTGTCCTCTGCTGATGTTAGGACAGGACTTGACCCAGGGCCTAAATCATGAAAGGCCTTGTTTCGTCTATCTGAGAGACCAAGTGGATGCTCCAAAGAGAGGCTGTGGACGCGAGTGAAAGGACTTTTACCCAGCCTCTGTACAAGATTTATAAGTATTGCTTGACAAATTCTTGCCAAGTCCCAGATGACTGTCAGTCAGATATTCCCACTGACATGTCTGTGTCTGTAACTTTACAGTGGATGTTCATTACAGAGTTCTTTCTTTTCCCTGAAGCCCATTCTCAATGACTTCAACTCTGAAAGAAAACAGAGAAGAGTCACTTAGACTCTTCTTCCTTCCCCCACCTAAATGTCTTTCCTTTTTCTCCAAAACATCCAAGATATTTCATTGTTGTTTTAAATCTTTGCCAAAGTGGAGCAGCTACAAAGTCAAAGCTATTTGTTAAATCTGAAAAGAGACACTGCTGTTGTTTGGGGAGCCATTAGTTCCTTGCATATGGTCAAAATTGTGCACTTTATTTTAACATCACCATCTCATCAGCAGAGCGTAAGTGTAGGGTTTCCAGAGTGGGTGACCTGTGATGATACACGAACACCTAATGCCTTTGGATTTATAAGGGAACTTTCAAAAGTATTCAGAGCTGCCTAAAGGATAGAAATGTAGCCGTTTTAGTCTGGTGTAGCTGAAACAAAATACAGGACTATGTAGCACTTTAAAGACTAACAAGATGGTTTATTAGATGATGAGCTTTCGTGGGCCAGACCCACTTCCTCAGATCAAATAGTGGAAGAAAATAGTCACAGCCATATATACCAAAGGATACAATTAAAAAAAATGAACACATATGAAAAGGACAAATCACATTTCAGAACAGAAGGGGGATGTGGGGAGGGGGGGAAGGAAGGTGAATGCCAGTGAGTTAATGATATTAGAGGTGGGGAAGGGGAAATGTCTGTGAGTTAATAGTATTAGAGGTGATAATTGGGGAAGCTATCTTTGTAATGGGTAAGGTAGTTAGTGTCTTTGTTGAGACCGATGCGTAGAGTGTCGAATTTTAGCATGAATGCCACCTTCCTTCCCCCCGCCCCCCCACATCCTCCTTCTGTTCTGTAATGTGATTTGTCCTTTTCATGTGTGTTCATTTTTTTTAAATTGTATCCCTTGGTATATATGGTTGTGACTATTTTCTTCCATTATTTGATCTGAGGAAGTGGGTCTGGCCCACGAAAGCTCATCATCTAATAAACCATCTTGTTAGTCTTTAAAGTGCTACATAGTCCTGTATTTTGTTTCAGCTACACCAGACTAACACGGCTACATCTCTATCACTATTCTACTCAAAAGACTTTCTGTTTGTCAGGGTTTCTTGTTGAATTTCACTGCCTCCCTTGTGAAGTTTGTACAGAATTAAATGGCTCCTCTCCTGCACTTTCTGTCTATGCTGCCTAGAAATCTGTGTCAACTGACTTGAGAAGCTCCAGAAAGATTTCTTATGTTAAAGCTGCTGTGATTCAGAGGGTCTGCACCCTTCCATTGGAGCTCTATACAATACAGATGTGGGTGCCAAATGACGAATCAGCTTCACGGATTCAGAGCTGCTGAATTCTCATGGAGCTTCTGTTAGAGGGGGCCCAGACTTCCAAACCCGGCGTGCCTGGTTGGGTGCACAATTTCCAATGTCCTGCTGTCAAGGCTGTTCCCCACTCTGGCACTATGAATGCAGAAGTTGGGGGCCCGCAAGAGTGTTCCGAAATGTTGCCTTCACCGGCACTGGTACAAAAACTTCCCCCCACAAAATCCTAATACCCAGATTTTGGGGGACTCGCTGCCACACTCAAGTGCTTTTGAACTCCAAAATAAAAAAACACAAACAGGGGTGGACACTTGAAACCAACCCTAGGGGTACCCCAAGCTCTTTTTCCCCAAAAGAGCTTGAAAAAGAAAGAGAAAAACAAGCTGCAGTCTCTGGTAGCTGACCCCTCAGTCAGAGGCCTGCAGATACACACAGACAGACCTCCCAGGACACAAGAATCAACCAATACCGGTTAATTAGAATAAAAACCCCAATCTTTTTTTATCAAAACAAAACCACAGTTGCAAGCATAGTAAAGTGGCTGGGTGGTAAAAGCCCAATATATGGTCTCAGAGAAAATCCCTGGGCGATAATCCTTAGTTACAAAAAAGAAACAGCTCAGACACGATTTCCAAATCCCCAAAAATGGAAAACAATAAACCTACTTACACATTTTAAGAAGTCCGTTCTTGGAGAGAGAGAAGCATCTCCCATCTCCCTCAATACCTGGGAGAAACTGCTCTGATCTCAAACAAAGAAAAGAGAGAGGAAAACCCCCTCTTTTCCGATTTGAAATTCCTACCTGCCTTGGTATTGGCTGATTGCCTTTGCTAGGTACCGGAGTTAACCCCTTAGTCTCCGGGTATTGGTCGGCACTCCTGATTACGACACCTGCACATACATCAGGGAATCATGAGCACACGTGGCCAGTTGTAATTGCTTGAATTTAAAATACCTGACTTTTCACCCTTCTGAAAGGGTTGAGCAAATCGTGTGTGTGTTTGGCCAACGCAGAGCAGACTGGAGCAGAGTGTGCTGAACGCTGCTACTTCCGTTGTAGCAGGGCCAGTCTTTGCATTCTGTCCGCAGAGCAACAGGCTGGTCTTGTTAATAGCCATGGGATGTCCTCTGATAGTCCCTGTTTGTGTTTTGTTTCCAGCGTCAGTTCATCCCAGTGAAACTGAAAGGCAAAGGCTTCTGGATGTACACCATGCAGTATGCAGCACTTTATCTCTGTAGCTTGGTGGTAATTGTCTGCCTCTCGTTCTTCCTCCTCAACTCCTGGGACTTCATTCCATCTGTGTATGGTTTCATGTAAGTAGTTGGTTTCTTTTCTGGAAAAGCCCATATTGTGATAGACATTATCCATGCATACCAGGGACCCACGCCCTGTCCCAAGGAGCATTCAGTCTCAGGAAAAATGTACCAGCAGTGCAGAGGAAACAAACACACTAATCACAAAGATACATAGCCCAAGTTCCATTAAACCATCACAGCAAGAATTAGAGCAGTGGTACTCAACCAGGGTTACATTCACCGCTGCTGGTACAGAGGGCTTCCATGGGGTACATCAACTCATCTAGGTATTTGCCTAGTTTTACAACAGCTACATACGTGATGAGCTTTCGTGGGCCAGTCCTACTTCCTCAAGTGGGTCTGGCCCATGAAAGCTCATCACCTATTAAACCATCTTGTTAGTCTTTAAAGTGCTACATAGTTTTTCTTTTTGTTTTAGTAAGATCAGACTAACACGGCTACCTCTCTGTTACTATTCAACAGCTACATAAAGAGCACTAGCAAATACAAACTACATTTCATACAGACAGTGACTTGTTTATACTGTTCTATATACTATATACTGAATTGTAAGTATAATTTATATTATAATTATATGGTAAAAAGGAGAAAGTCAGCAATTTTTCAGGAACGGCGTGCTGTGACACTTCTGTCTTGTCTGATTTTGTAAGCAGTTTTTAAGTGAGATGATAGACAATGAGACCCCTGCAAGAGGTATAGTAGTCTGGAAAGGTTGATAGCCACTGAACTAGAGATGACAAACTAGGTGGGGAGTAGATACTGGCGTTTCTTCAGTCTCCCTTTAATTACAAGGTGGATCCATTTCTTGGCATGTGCTTTGGATTAGCCAATCTGAGCAGTAGGTGTCGCTGTTGGTCGACTCCACAGAAGTAAAGCTGCAAGTGTGTTTAAAATCGCCTTAAAGTGACATTAACGTTAGATGCTGCCTGAGAAAATAGCGATGATGATGTTTAAGTACTTTGGAGATCACAGGTACTAAGTGGATTGCAGCCTTTTCTTGTACACTCTGCCCTGATTTCGTGTGTGGTTTTGTACTGCTGCAATGAGCTCTGACTAGTTAAAGGTATAACTGGCATTGATAGCTAGAAGTACTGACACCAACACTGGGAGTTGATTTTCCCTCCTGAGTATACTCCCCTTTGGTTCTTCACAGTGCATCCTAAGATACAGCACCCCTTACTGCCCCTTGTAGTAACACTTCTATGAAATTGACTCATTGTGTAAGTAAGTCAAATACCAACTGCTTTAAAATGTAACCTTGATTTTTCTCTTTATATTCCAGCCTTTCTGTTCCAGATCTAACTCCCAACATTGGCCTCTTCTGGTACTTCTTTGCTGAGATGTTTGAACACTTCAGTCTGTTCTTCGTTTGTGTATTTCAGATCAATGTCTTCTTCTACACCATTCCTTTAGCAGTGAAGCTAAAGTAAGTGGATGTATTTACTGTCCCTTGATCTCTGTGTTCTGCCAACCTAAGGAGTTGGTACTGTTCTGTGTCTCTTGGTGGGAGTGAGAATGATAGAGACTTTTGTGGACTATTTTTCCTCTTCTTGATAAACTTCTTACACCAAATATGATTTCTGCGCTTTGGGTACTCTGTTCATGTTATCCTGTAGAGACTCATGTAGGTCAGTGTCAGACATCTGGAGCTATGAAGAGGAAAAAGAGCAGAATTAGATTTTATTTAGGCTCTTTCCTTCTTGCTTTCTAAAGTGACAGTGTTCTCTCAAGGAGGGACGGGTGTTAGCTTATGGTGTCCTGAAAATGTACCTCACTTCTTTGAAGGGCCCTGCATTTTTTACTTGTTTCCTAGAATAGTGGGATGCAATTTTTTCTATAGGGGAGCGTGTTGCTTCATGTAACAATAGGATGTTCAAAGTACAGTAAACTTCTGATAATCCAGCACCTTTAGGACCCAGGGGGTGCTGGATTATCAGATATGCCGGACTATCAGAAGGGGGAGCTATGTGGGGTCTGGGGTGGAGTCGGGGGGATGCGTCCCTCGACGCTGCGGGACCAACCCGGCAGCACCCCAGCTGCTGAACCTGACCAGCGGCTGACTCAGGGAAGTCGGGGCCAGAGCAGCTCCAATTGTCCAGCTGCCCGGAGCACTTCCGGGTTCCAGATGGTGCTGGACCATCAGGAATGTTGGACCATTGGATGCTGGACCACTGGAGTTTTACTGTACTAGGATACCTCAAATATTCCAGGGAGGCAAGGCTGCAGAATGGTTAGAGCAAGTGACTGGGTGCTAGGATTTTCTGGATTCTGTTCCTGGCTCTGTATCAGCTCCCTTTTTGCTACCTTGTTCTGTGCCTCAGTTTCTCCATTGATAAAAAGGGAATACGAGTGTGTACTACCTTGGATGTAGAGGATTCATGAGACTCGGTCCATTAACGTTTGCAAAGCGCTTTGGGTTCTCACATGAAATGCTGTGTGCAAGGACAAAATCAACTTCATACCTGGTTTTCTGAGCAAAGAGCTGCCCTCATTGCTTGTATCAAAGCCTGGGACTCTTATTGTTCCTGTATGGGGAATGTTAGGAGTTCCCGCACTTCTCCCCTCCTCACGTGCACTGTCCTCTTCTGCTATGGCGCTGTGAAGGTTATTTCACTGCAGATTGCCCTAGAGGTGCAGCAGTTTTCTGAGGCAGTAGCTGATGTGTGTTCCCTGCCTCTCTTGGATCCAGGCCATTTCTCCCTGTTTGTCAGTTTGGAAAGCTAAGAACAGTGTGTGGTCGGGGTGGTGACAGGCACCTGCAAATTCAGTATAAGGCAACATCTCCACATCTCTTGGCTGTAAGGTCTCAGGGGACAGGAGGGGGGTAAGTCCTGAAGGGCTTTCAAGAACTTCAGACTTGGCAGGGCCACAACAAGGGGGGGACCCTGAGGGTGCAAGCCCCCAGCTTGGCCCTTGATCAGAGCTGGGTGGCATAATGGTAATGTCCTTTCCCTGCTGGCATGACAGAGGGGCAGCTGGGCCAAATTAGAGTAAACAGTGGTGTGACCTAGCACATGGGTCACACTTCTTGCCATCCCCCCCTTTTGCAGTCCTTCCAGCACCCCTCTCCAGGCTCTCCAGCACCATGAGTCTGCTGCAGGCAACGAGTCTCCTTCAGGATATTTCACAGCATCTTCCCCAGCACCCAGACGAGCTGTGGTGAGCTCGTTCTTACCCACAGGCCTCTGGGAATGAACTGGCTGCCATCTGTGTTTCAGGAGTCCTCTCTCTAAGCAAATGTCAGTCTGGCCCCAGCCTTGCTTTTAAATGTGGCGTAAACAGCTCTAACGACCACAAGACAAAACCTCTCTCATTGTGCCTGCAGCAGGAAAGGCTGCTGAGTGCCACAGGCTGAAGTACATTCTAGAACATTCGTTTCCCTTTTCTTCATTTTCAATTTTCTTCAGTGCTGCAAAGCCAGTTCATTGTATTGCAAACCAGCTATGCTCTAGACCCATAGCAAACCCTGGCTAAGTGTTGCCTCAGCTCTCCTCAAGCTGCATGTACAGCTGATGTTTCCTACACACTCTGCAGTCATCCCCTCATGCTTGTAAGGAGAATGAGGTAATATCTTTTATTGGAACCACTTCTGTGGGTGAGAGACACAAGCTTTTGAACCACACCATGCTCTTCCTCGGGCCCATTCAGCACAACTGCTCATGCTTGTCAAACAGGCAGAAAGCTCACTAGAGATTCTTGTAAATACGTCTCTCACACAGGTACCAAATGCTTGCACCATCACAAGGTCAAGATGTAGGCTCTTATTTTGGCTTTCAGGCCACATGCTTTCATTCATGGAGGAAGATCTCCGTTTGAGGAATGTGATGGTAAAGTACCCAGGCTTGTGTTGGAGTAGCTGTGCAGGAAGCTGGCTGAAAAGTTGTGATTCAGAGCTGATGCTGAATCCTTACCCTATTACATAATGGGCCATGCGTAGAACTATGTCATGCAGTAGTCAAAACATGGAGGGGAGGGAGCTAGAGAGGATACTTTATTAAGCTGACAGCTGAGATGGATCCTGCTGTGGATTTGACAGCAGGACACTCAAAGCCAGTTCTATAAAGTCATTCATTGCAACAGTGAAGTAAAAGATTCCGGGAAGTTACTGAAGGATTGTAATACAAACTCTACCGTTCGGTCTGTGGACAGCCCAGTAATTGGCTGGATTTCAGATGGGCTTGTTAAATGACTTGGAATGTATACAGCCACTGTTCTGATGTGCCATAGGGTGGGTCTACCAGACCATGAGCTTCTCAACACAATCCTTGTGCGGCAAAAGCAGCTCAGAATGAAAGAGCACTGGTTGCTCTTCCTACCACCCCAACAGAAGGCAGCACTGGAAGGACCTGGACATAGACTGATTGTGTAAATGTGTGTGTGCCCAAAGTATCCTTGTATAGGTACACACATACACTGGGAATTCTCCTCTGTAGATTGGCTCCCTGCTAGCAGCCCAGCACACTGTGAAACAGAGCAAGAGTGTGAAAGCTTGTAGGAGTCTGGCCCATGGTATGTTTGTGTGCCCCTGCCAGTCCTTGCCACCAGGTTCCAGGGAGAAACGCTGCTGCTCCTGGGACCTGTTCTGTCCAGTCACTGCCTTTTTCCTTCCTCCTCTAGGGAACACCCCATCTTCTTCTTCTTCGTGCAGCTTGCCATCATTTCTATCTTCAAGTCCTACCCAACCGTGGGAGACGTAGCGCTGTACATGGCCTTCCTCCCACTCTGGAGCCACCTTTACAGATGTAAGTTCTTTGTGTTTGACTCTCCCTCCTCCTACCCCCACAGTCCCTGGGGCACACTCAGTCCAAACCTTGGTTTGTTGACCTGGCTGAGGGGAGGGGCTTAGGTCAGAGTAGCTACAGACTTCTAACTTGGGAGTCTAACTTGGGAGTCTAACTTGGGAGTCTGCGTACTCAGTCCAAAGTGGGAGTCTGCGTACTCAGTCCAAAGTGGGAGTCTGCGTACTCAGTCTAACTTGGGAGTCTGCGTACTCGGTCTAACTTGGGAGTCTGCACACTCAGTCCAAAGTGGGAGTCTGCGTACTCGGTCCAACGCGGGCGTCTGCGTACTCGGTCCAACGCGGGCGTCTGCGTACTCGGTCCAACGCGGGCGTCTGCGTACTCGGTCCAACGCGGGCGTCTGCGTACTCGGTCCAACGCGGGCGTCTGCGTACTCGGTCCAACGCGGGCGTCTGCGTACTCGGTCCAACGCGGGCGTCTGCAGAATCCGCACCCCTGAGGAATGTAGTTATCCTGATCTAGCCCCCAGCGTGGTCGGTGCTGTGTCTGCATCAGAGCCCTCCCCCCCGACATAGCCCCACCGCTCGCGGAGGTGGATTCGCTACGCGGACGGGAGACGCTTTCCCAGAGAGTCTCTTCACTTACACGCTGCCTGGTGCAGTTCTGCCAAGACGGGTTTTCAGTGTAGGTCTGCCGCAAAACTCTTCACCCCAGGATGAAACTAGGAAAACTGGAAGAGGCCTGGGGCTGTGCAGTACACCAGCGTGCTGCAGGGGCACTGTCCCTCTTAGATTGTCCACTGCCTGGAGGGAAACAAGTCTGATCAAAACAACCCTGAAGTCTTGTGTGGGGGGAGCGAGCTTAGGATTTTTGTGAGCAACTTTTCCTCTCGCCTTATATGAAGGAGCCTCGTGAGTGCAAAGTATTTATTGTCCTTTGACGGATATAAAGTACAGGCACCCGCTGCCCTGGGCTGGAAGTATCTCGGCTCTCAGTGTATGGCTCTGATCATCTGAGCACCAGCCCTATAGTTAATCTGGTTGCTAGAATCCTCCATTCTGTCGCTGTTAGCTCTGTGTTTTATACAGTGTCCCGGTCCAAGGTAGGGGCTCCTAGGCATTACAATAACACAAATTGCTACCCACAGTTGTCAGTTTGTGTGAGCAATCACACACTCAGAATGTGTGCTGACTGCATCAGCCTGTTTAGCCAAGCCATTACTTAGCCCAGGGGAGACCAGATATGGCCTGCAGGCCGAATCCAGCCCTCCAAGCCCTTTAATCCAGCCTGCGGCCCACCTCGCCAGGACCCTCAAGCAAGGAGAATTCCACACCAGCCAATAGGAGCTGAAAGATTGTGCTAGGGGTGGGGGCAGCGTTTTAAGCCTCTCCCCTTCCCTGCACAGCACAGAGGGCCATACAGAGCAGCCAGCTGTTTTGAGTGGTCTGGGCTGGGGCAGGCAGGGAGCCTGCCTGAGGGTCCCTCTGGGTTGCTGGCCAGCAGCTGCCTAGGTAAGCGTCTCCCAGCCGGAGCCTGTTTCTGGCATGCCGTCCCCTCTCGCATCCTAACTCCCTCATGCCCTTTGCAACCCCTCTCCCCTGGGCCACAACTCCCTCCCAGACCCTGCACCCCCTCCTACATCCCTTGCCCAGGCCAGAATCCTCTCCTGCACTCATACCCCCCCAACCCTGCACCCCAATACCCTACCCCGGATCACAGCCCCCTCCTTCACCCAAACTCCCTCTCAGACCCCACGTGCTCTTCTGCAGCCCAGTCCCCTACCCTGAACTCCCTTCTGCACCCAACCTCTGTCCCACACCCTGCACCCCCTCCATAGAAAAGTGCGGCCCTTGACCGCTTACCAAAATCTTGGAGTGACCTCTGATCCAAAATTATCGCCCACCCCTGGCTTAGTCTTTCTTAAACCGCGAAGACCCTTTCCAGCCCTTGAGCACTGGACGTAATGTAATCGTCTGCCAGGTAGCTTGCAGCTCGTTTTCAGACTCAGATTCCGGTACCTGCCACATTGTAACATTCTAGGAAGATTTGTGTTGCTTCCCGGAGTGACTGGTTTAGGTGGCTTCGGCCATTGGTACCAAACAACACTGCCTGGCTGCTCTTTGGATTGTGCCAGTCCATTGGTAACCCTTAAGAAGCAATTTCAGTGCGAACACAAAGGGGCCCAGTTAGGCTTGGAAATGTGAAACCTGCCCCCTTTGTTTCCTTTTGGCGTTTGTAATCCAAACCCATTTGGTTTGTTACAGAATGCAGCAGTGGATTATTAGAGCAAATATCATTATGAACGATTGTGCTGGTGGAGAGAGCCGCCGTCTAATTAGTGCCTCCAAGCTGCTGGACGGCTAAGCACCATCCCGAGGTGTCACAAGGTCAGCTGCTTGTTAGCTGCTCAGCTACACTGATGTAACCTCTTTGTTTTCTCTTCCAGTCCTCCGGAACATCTTTATCCTCTCCTGCGTGCTCATTGTCTGCTCCCTGCTGTTCCCAGTGCTGTGGCATCTCTGGATTTACGCAGGAAGCGCCAATTCCAATTTTTATTATGCCATCACTTTGACGTTCAATGTAGGGCAGGTTAGTAAAATGAAGCAGTTGGTGACTCTTGTGCAGCACGGCTGGGTGCCTGGTAATGGGCCTGTCAAATAAGCACTAACTGGCTCTGGTGCAGAATGTGATCCATTTTGTGCATCCTCCCTGATTGTTGCACGTGTGCTGGTTCTCTTGTCAAGCCGAGATCTGCACTGCCAAGGGCTTAGTCATGAGGATCTAACACAGTGGTCCCCAACGCGGTGCCCGTGGGCGCCATGGCGCCCGGCTGGGTGCCTGGTAATGGGCCTGTCAAATAAGCACTAACTGGCTCTGGTGCAGAATGTGATCCATTTTGTGCATCCTCCCTGATTGTTGCACGTGTGCTGGTTCTCTTGTCAAGCCGAGATCTGCACTGCCAAGGGCTTAGTCATGAGGATCTAACACAGTGGTCCCCAACGCGGTGCCCGTGGGCGCCATGGCGCCCGCTGGGGCATTTATGTGTGCCCACCAAGTGCTCACCCGGGGGAAACCGGGGCCGGCCCCGCCCCTGGCGCGCGGCGCACTGGAGGCGCCGGCCCCAGGAGCGTGACACGCACCGGCACCTGGTGCGCGGGCGGCCCCAGCCCTGGCCCTGGGGCACATGCTGGCGCTGGGTGTAATGGAATCTCCACCCCTGGCGTGCCCCAGGACGCACGGCCCCGCCCCCGGGCGCCCGGCGCGAGTGTGGCCCCGCCCCCGGGCGCCCGGCGCGAGTGTGGCCCCGCCCCCGGGCGCCCGGGAGCCCGTAAAGGTTGGGGACCACTGATCTAACACATTCATAAGACACAGAATTGTTCTGTCTTATTACTTGAGCCAGATCTTAATGTTCTGTCCAATACAGCCTGTGGCTTGGAAGCAGAGGAGGAATCCCAGTTGCTTAGTTGGAAAGCTGGCAGATTTGTAAAACAGCAGCAGAAGCTTGTATTTAAGTGAACATCCTACAAAAGGAGAGTTAATACCCAGAAGCATCCAGATAATCTTCTTTCCTCCTGAGCTCTAGTCCGGCAAGGTGCTGGTCAGTCACAGCTCTGATTTACTTCAGTGAGACTGAACATGCTCAGCACCTCCATGGGATAGAGCCCATTGGCCGCAATTTCTGCAACTTGCTAATTACTTTTTCCTGTTTGTAAACTAGCAGTAAGCGGCCACAGGCAGATGTCCCAAACTCCGTGCACACTTCTCCCATTTACAGCTTAACTTGAAGGAGTAACTAGCCCACTCCATGTTGCTGATCTTCACTGAGCCTTGCGTCAATTTCATGTGCAGAACAATTAGACTTTGTTCTGCTTTGCAAGAAACTGAATGTTCTTTTCATGTTAAAATTAGACCACCTCTTAGTTGGGCAGCTTTACTGAGAGCCCAGAATTGAGCTATTTATATCGTTAAAACAGTAGATTTATAAAAGGAGAAAATCCTGAAATGTGAAAGCAAACAGTGGCAAGCGTTGGGGGCGATGACTATAAAGATCCAAACAGCATAATCAGGGCTTGTAGGAGAACTCGGGGACAGATGGTGGTTCCTTAGCTCTGTATGTACGTACCTTGCTAATGTGTGAGGAGAGCAGTAAAACTGACATTTCATGTAATTTTGTAATTGGAAAGAAAATGCACAAAGGGTTGTGTGTTCAGTCTTACTGGATCACTTCCGACTTCCATAGTGTCTTGTGCTCACAAGTTTTGGCTGTCTCTTCTCCCAGACACCTTTCTGACTTCAGTGTCAGAAACAACCAGCCCTAGTGCATTCAGCCATTTCACCTCTTGTGCGGAGGAGTAAGTGTCCTGGGAACAGCTGTCCAAATCAGCATAGATGATCTGGGAAGAAGACCGCAAGGTTGAAAGTCACGAATACCTGAATTTTCTTTCCAATTCTTCCTCACACTGTAAAGTCAGGCAAGTCATTTCCTTTCTGTCTGACTCAGTTTCCCCCTCAGTAAAATTGGAATAATACCTGTGTGTCTCAGGGGTTGCTTTGGGGGAGTGCCTTAAGTTAACGGTTTGAAAGCACTTGGTGATCCTGGCTGAAAGTTGCTGTGGTCGTACAGTGCAGTAGCGTTTGCTTGATAGCTGGAAGCGTGTAGCACTCCATGATTTAATCATGCAGATGTTTTAATGGTCCCAATTAACAGTTGGCTGGCTGATCACTTCAGGAAATGCATTTGTCTGCTGAGTGGCAGACTCCAGCTGCACGTAGTAATTTGCTCACCGTGCCTGCTGCTGAGATGTAGCCTGCAGGTCCCCTGGGACCCCCAATGAAACAAACGGTAGGCAGCAGTCTTCTCGCATCCTGTGAGATTCTGCTTGTCTGTAACACAGCCCCAGGAGCGAGGGTTTCCCTATGGCTGGAGTGGATGGGTTTAGTTTGTGGGAAGATCCGTCTCTCTGCTGGAGTTGGATTGCCCCTAACAATGTTCACCGTACCAGAAGTGTCAAATGAGAGCATTAGTCAGCCATCACTGTTAATGAAAGCAAGTCGTCCCCGCTGCCCTCCGGGTCCCAGACAGGTGGTTCTGTAGCTGGCACAAAGCCCTCAGAGCTGCTATAGACACACCTGCTTGATGCCTCCCTTTTTTCCTGTTCCATAGTCATTTATGTCCACTGGATCCTTGTAGTCTCATTTGCCTTGGTCTACCTTACCCCCCAGCACTACTCTTGCACTAGGTCTCGGGCACCCTCTGTGGCTGTGCTTAGTAGAAGGCAGAACATGTGGAACCCTGTATGTGGACTCCCAAGTCCTTGTCCTTTGTGTGCGTAGAGCCATGCCAGTTCCACTGCGCCCAGACCCTAAGCACTCGTGCTAGGGGCGGAGTTGCCCCCGGGGGAGCCGTACCTGCATAGCTCTGTCTTATTTGTAACGGCAAACGTTGCGCGCTCCTTTTCCCGTTCGGTTCAGTCTCCTTCTTTCAGGGACTTTTCCTTTTTTCCTCTTGGTTCTAAGCGTTTGGCTCTTTAAACCGCGTTACACATCCAGCTGGACGGTATCACAACTGGGCTGGCGGAGCTAGACATGCCACAGCCTCTCCCTTTGCGGGAAAGGAATACGCTAACTTGGCAGTAACCGCAGGGTTTTTCCAGTGTTAATAGTCAACTCCACTGCTCCCCAGGTCATTAATCCCCAGGAACTGCCATGCAATTGCCTGAGTATTGCTATTGCAAGCTGAAAGCAGGGCTCTCTTTACAGAACTGCTGCTTTATTTTGAATGTATAGAGTATTACTAGATGATAGATAACCTGCACGTTGTTAATCAATTTAAAAAGTATTGCACATTTGAATGTAATTAATGAGGAAGTAACATAGCCAGATTTAGTTAAGCAATGGTTCGTTTTAGCAAAAAAGAGCAGTATACATTACCAAGTTTGTAGAACCGTGCCTTGCAACCTTATGCATTTTTTTTTTAATATGGACTTGGGTTTTTTCCGGTTATGCCCAGCTTAAGTTTTATTACTGTGTGTAAGGCTGTTTCCTTATTCTGGCACTTCGAGTGCAAAAGTCTTTCAAATACCTTGTGCCACTAAAGGCTTTCATTAAAACTCCCCGAATCACAGATCTCTGGCCTTGGATTAAGGATGTTAAAGACTAGTTGACTATCCGATAAGCATTTCCTATCGGATAATAATGTCAACTAGTCAATTCCTACCCCCCCTTGCTGCCTTTATAAAATAGAGGCAGCAAAGTATGTGTGTGTGTGTGGGGGGGGGGAGTTACTTCAAAGTGGCAGCACAGCTCAGCCACTTTGAAACGCCAAGGTGGCAGCTGCACAGTTGATCCTGGGATCAGCTGTGCAGTGGGCTGCCCCTTTAAAACACTGCCTCTGTGGGGAGTCACGGGCAGCCCTGGGACTCCCCAGCTGATCCCGAGTCCTGGGGAAATGCTCCGTTGAGCCCAGGGTCAGCTGGGGAGTCTCCAGCTGACCCTGGGTTCCAGGGAAGTGCCACATGAAACCCGGGGTCAGCTGGGGACTCCCCAGCTGATCCCAGGTTCTCAGGGAGCCCGGGCTCCCCTGCCTCCCCTCTGAATCGCACGGAGGCAGCAGTTTCAAAGGGGCAGTCGCCGCACAGCTGATGAAACGAGGCTTACAGGATCTGGGGTCGGCAGATCCCTGTCTAGACTGCCACGCCGTGCTGACAAACAGCTGATCAGCACAGCATGGCGGCCATTTTTATTTAAATGAAGCGACAATTATTTAAATCGCCGCTTCATTTCCCTTTTTTGAGTAAACTCATCTACGTGGCTCCGTCGACGAGCCATGTAGTTTAGACGTACCCATTGTGTGTCCAGCCGCATGACTGAATATCAGAGATTCATCCTTCACGTTTGGCCAACTCAGACCTCTGCTCCTGTGGTTGGTGCTTAAAGATACTTATGGGCAGGGCTCGACAAATGCGCTCGCCCGTGGCGAGTAGATTTTGCCAGCGGGCGAGTGCAGGGGCGGACTGGCCCGGTGGGCCGTTGTAACGGGCTGGCCGAAGCCTGCACTACGGGCGGCGCGGCCCCATCCAATCCGCCAGCCGGCGGAGGAGCAGAGCGCTGCCGGGGGGGGGGAACTGCGGTGATTCTCAGCGCTGGGCTGACTAGGTGCAGCTGCAGTGTGAGGAGGCGAAGCGCCGGCAGACGCCAGGACACTGGCGTGACGTGGCCCAGCTGATTTTAAAGGACCGCAGCAGCTCGGCTCTGGCTGTGTGTCCCCGGCAGCTGGCTGCGGGGCGCGGCAG